GCACAGTCTCGTGGTGAAATGCTATTTTCGGCACGGACATTTAGAATGTCAGAATAAGGTCTTCGTCCAGAATTAGTCTCTATAACGTGTTTTCACCAATAGCTCGCTAAAGTCACATAAAAGAATGCTTTAATGCTTCTGCAGCCAGCTTACCCTTTTTGACGTCCGACCTTCCTCGTCTCATGACCACACCTTCAACTTCAAGAATTTTAGAGATCGTAACCATCAAATGATCCCATTTTGTAGATGATATGTTAGGGTTCTCAGCCAAGAGATGCAGAAGTTGGTACTGAGGAAAAAAACTTTATGGAGATGATACCTTCATATGATTCCCTTACATTTAAGCAAGAAATGAGCAGAACACATTGCCCCCGCTTCATACCTTTTTAAGCTGCTCGTTGACATTCTCTGAGTTGTCAAACCAATCAAACAACAGATCTATAGCACATCGGCGATCCAATGTTTCCTTTGGTGGTTCTAAAGGTCAAACGCGTCTGTACCGTAATTACAAAGATTCAGCCTTTACTAAAGCAGAACTGTGCGATTACGGCAGATTAAATAATCATCGATTTGAAGAAGAAAGAAATTATTTAGCGTCTCATTTTGTTCGGATGAATGACTTGGCAAAGGATTGCATGAAAAAATTTCCGTTGATAAAGGAAAACGTCAAAAACCTACGAGATGATGGAAAGATATGGAGAAAAAACAGGAATATAGCCTATAACTCAGATCAAGACTTAAAAATAACTTAAAAGTTTTGTGGTTATTTACAAAAATGTTGCCCAGAAGAAAAAGTTGCACACAAATAAGTAGTGGTTTCATTGATATACAATAGAACGTTTAGCACCAATTTTGTCACATCGTCGCATCCCAATTTTCACGTTATTAGATCTACATTATGCAAAAAAAAATGTACTTTATGAAAAATAAGACTTTTAGATATAAAACCCAAATATGCTATCAACTTGAATTTATATTCATCTTTCAGTAGATGCACAAAAATTCAGAAACATCTATGAAAAACAACTTGAAGCAATGTAAGAACGAATAAAACACTATATCGAATAAGCTGCACACCTTTAAAAGATATAGTGCTATTTGGTCTACTGTTAAATCGAAGTACTCACCTTGTATAATGAGATCCCTGTTCTCGCACTCAACAAGTCGTCGAATCTCTCTATTCAGCATTGCATGCTTTGTTCCTGATACCAGAGTGATTCCTTTGAGTACGCCCAAAGCTGTAATTACATTGGTTCCCTTTCTTTTCGAAAAACACATCGTGATTCAAATTGATCCACATAATTAATGTATCGTAAGGGTTATTAATGGCAGAAATGAGATATTTGTTGAAAAAACTCACACATTAATTCATTCCTCATGCAGATTCGTGATAAGAATGCGCTGTTGTTTTCAATCAGCTGGTTTATGACACCGAGGTCCAACGCACGTTGATCTTCGTTAGTATTTGGATCGGAGAACGATGATACAACATCTCGCAGTGGCCGGCGATCATTCTGTAACTAATATTTTCAAAGACAAATAGGGGAAAAAAGTGAGAGATTGTAGTTTGACATGATGTAAGAAAAGAAGAGTTTGCTTCTGTAATGGATGATGAATGTAGAATTTTTGTGCGAAGGTAACATTTACGAATAATTTGTTACAGAAAGTTTACTGACATGATTAGAATTCGCCCAGAGATTCATATCGACATCGCATAAAGTTCATAAAATCTAATTAAACCTAGGTTTACTAATGGCTACAGTGTTTACCGTATCCCTACACCCTACACTAGGCACTAATTTAGAAATCAAGAACAATAGTGTGTTATCTTTTTGCTTTATGCAAAACTGCCAGTTTTTTTCAGCACGTTTTCTTAGCTTCTACCCTGATTTCTCCTACCAAAAACCGTATTTGTAGAGTTATTTGTTTCCACTAGCCCTATAAGAGAATGAAACCCTACAACGAACCTCAACCCGAATATCAGGCAAAATCTTCATGGTATCTTGCGAGCTCCGTCTTGTACGC